AAAGAGGGACAGAGTGAGAGACAGAGGGAAAGTGAGAAAGCAAGCTGGCAGATCCGGGACTCGAACTGCAGTAGACCATGTAGGAATCCAGCACCCTTAGCCACCACACCACATGCTGGCCCAGTATTCTTTAACAGACAGAAAAAACAATTACAACATTTGTATAAAACCATGCAATCACATGTATATAGAACTACAAAAGATCCCAAATAGCAATTTCTAGATCCCATGAAAAGAACAATACACCAGAAGGCTATGAAATGAAAATACAGTAGAAGGCTATGGAGACCAAAACAGTAAGGTAATAGCATGACAGCAAACACTCCAAAGGAAGAGAACAGACAACCAAGAAATAAGTCCACATATGTACGGCCACCAAATTTTCACTAAAGTGTCTAGAATGCTCATTGGAAAAAGGACAGAATATTGAATAAACAGTTTTGGGAAAAATGAATATCTATATGCAGAAATTGAATATCAACTGTGGTTCAAGTCCTGGACCTCGTGGCTTGCTTTCTCACTACCCCACCCCACCCTGGTAAAATTAAAATAAATAAATAAATAAAGTGAAACAAAATTATTCTTGGAAAAAAAATCAACTTCTAATGGACATTGATCTAGGCAGATTTCTTGGATAAGAACTCAAAAGTGTAACAAAAGTAAAAACAGACAAGAGCAAGCCCGTCACATGGTGGATAGGCACGGAACTCTGATATGACAGACTGCAGGTCAAGTCTTGGATCTGGTGGTTTGCTTTCTCACTTTTCCTCACTCTCTCTCTCCCTCTGTTCCTTCCAGGTGAGCACACATACCCTGTAGCAAATTTAAAAATAAATAAAAGTTAAATGAATTTTTTTATTATAAAAAAGTAACACACAGACTATATCAAACTAAAATGCTCTTACAGAAGTTGAAGAAAATAAACAGAAATAAGAGACAACCTACAGAGTAAGAGAGAATACTTGCAAAGTATGTATTTGACAGTGGCCAAAAAGCAGAATATATGGGGACCAGCAGGTGGCATGGTGGTTAAGGCATGGGAATTTCCACATGGCCAACTGTGGTTCAAGTTCTGGACCTGGCAGCTTGCTTTCTCTCTCTCTCTCACCTGGCAGCTTTCTCTCTCTCTCTCTCTCTTTCTCTAGCAAAAAACTCACATGAAAAATAAATAAATAAATATTTTTAAAAAACAAAACAGAATATATGAAGGACTTTAAACTCAACAGCAAAAAAGAACAAAGAGGGACCAACAGATGGCAAAATGGTTACCTCATTGGACTACCACTTAGTCAACCATGGTTTGAGGCCCAGGCCAGGCAGTTTATAATTCATGCTGGGAATGTGGCATGCATACCAAGAATCCCAAGAAAAGAATGGAGAAAAATGGATTGTGGTGTGGCCATCCACCACTAGAGGGTGATTTCTTACTTGCTGTCTCTCTCTGTCTCTTTGGGAAGCGCACAAGCCCTATAGCAAAAATCTCTTCAAAAAAATAAAGAGCAAATTGCCAGCAGATGACACAGCTGTTAAGGTCCTACATTCTCACACGGCTGACCTCATCTCCTATTACTAGACCCAGTGGTTTGGAAATCACACAGGGCTGGGGCAAGCAGATGGCATAGTGGTTATGTTCCTGCCTACATGGTCAAGCATGGTTTGAGTCCAGGAACCAGTAGCTTGAAACTCACACTGAGCATGTGTACATACAGTGCCCAAGATACTAGAAAGAGAACGGAGAAAGGACTGCAGCATAGCCATCCCTCCAGGAAGTGATTTCTCATTTTCCCTCTCGCTGTCTCTGTCTCTGGGGAGTACACAAGCTCTAAGACAAATACGAGTGATTTCTCACTTTCGCTCTGTGAAAGGGCACACCTTATGCAAAAAACTTCAAAGAAAAAGGAAGTAATGATTACTTAAGTAAACCTTTCTAATACATAAAAGTGAACAACATGAATTAACATTGGCGTCAATAAATGATGTAAGATTAAAAATCACGAGGCATAATTCCAGAGACATGTGACCCTATCTACATATGAGGATCAAACACGGGCTCCTTGGGACCAGCAGTTAGCGTAATAACTGTCACTGGACTCCCATGTAGTAGACCGCAGTTCGAGTCCTGGACCTGGTGGCTTAAACTCATGCCGGGTGCGTGCCCAAGATCCCGAGAGGAGAAATGGAGGAGAAGGGATTGCGGCGTGGCCATCCCCCCTGGGGGGTGATTTCTCGCTTTCTGTCTCTCTGTCTCTCTCTGTCTGTCTGGTGAGCGCACGTGCCCTATAGCAAAAACCTCTCCCAAAAGAAAAAAAACACGGGCTCCTCTAATTGACCACCTTTGTAGCGCTGCTAAGTAATAATCTCAGAAGACGGAACCCTGCTGCCCTGTTCCAAAGAGGAACAGGAGTGAAAAACTCTGAAATAAAGAAGGGTGAGGGCCCTTGAGAAATATGTCAGCATTTATCTGTCCTTGTTCCTGACACAGATCTCTTCCTCCCTTCAGAATTCTTTGATAATGAGACTGTGATTTCTTCTTCTTCTTTGTTTTTAAAGAGTTATTTAAATTTATTTACTTATTTATTTTAATTTAACCAGAGAGGGACAGAGAGAGAAAGAAAGAAAGAAAGAAAGTAAGCCGCCAGGTTCGGGACTTGAACTGTGGTCAGCCAGGTGGGAGTCCAGTGCCCTTAACCACCACATAACCTGCTGGCCTTGTGATTTCTTATAATAAGACACTTATAATTTCCTACATTGGGACTAGTCACCAGAAACACAAAGTCGGGGTTAGAAACAGAACTTTTAGCACCATCCCCCAGGGACAAACAAAAGGGCAGGATATTGAAATAATCCTCCATCGTGTCATCATGAAGCCTCCCTAAGACTTCCTGGACTATGGGAGTCATACGGATTCCAAATGTTGAACACACAAAGATGCCTGGACACTGTTCTCCCAAAGAGGCCAAGGAAGCTCTGTACCTTTTTCTTTCTTTTTTTCATGAGAGATTACCGCTGCAGGGCATATACACTCACCATTGAGACAGAGACAGAAAGCAAGAAATCCTCCACACGGGAATGGAAATCGCTCACCTCATCCCTTCTCCTCCATCTGCTCTCTGACACACACACACCTGGTTTGAGTTTGAAGCCATTGTGTCCAGGTCTCAAATGGAGGTGGAGTACGTGGGAGCCCAGTGACGTAGCCATTATGCCACCTGCTGGCACCACTCTACACCCTTCTGAGGCACCTTGCTCTAAGCACCTCTTCATTTGATGGTTTCCCTGTATCCTTTGAAACATGTTTTATGACAAAGCAGGAGACCTGAGATAGCACAACCCAGAGTTCTGCGAACCACGTAGCAAATTAATGAAATCCAAGAAGAGGATTACGGGGACAATGACGTACAGGGCAAAAACTTTCTCGAGACTGGCATCTACAGTAGCAGACATTCTTGGGACCAGCAGTTGGCTTAATGGCTATGTCGCTGGACTCCCACGTAGTCGACTGCGGTTCAC